GTGGGATGGAGCGAATGGGTTAGTAATCTAGAGGTAGGCCGCCGTGTGTTAGGGAGTCAATCAGGGATAAACCTCCTAGCACTCCGACTTCAGATAAGTGGAATTCGCTGGCTAAGGCGCGTATTGCCTTTACTCAGCCGTCATCTGCCGCACCGGGCTGGAGAAAACCACGTGGACGTCAGCAGATGACGTGGAGACGAGGCATGAAGAATTGCACACAGCCATTAGGTAGAGTAGGTGTCTCTCGCCCTCCTGGTTGGAGTCTGAAAGTCTCCACAACTGTTTGCTTGGAGATATTGAAGGATATGGCTTCGAACCGACGTTCTTATTGTCATTTCTTATTAGGCCAGAACGCTTGAAACTGTATGTATGCAGAGTTCGATTGTGCACTCTGTGTTGGCTNTGTGTTGGCTATAGTGGTTCACCTTCCTCTCCCTTCCTGAAAGTAGGTCCAATCTCTGTCCACCTCAACTTTCAACACTAATTTTGTGTGCATTGCGAGTTTGGCAGCGATCAGTGAATTTCGATTCACTGTACGATGATGATGATGATGCTGGGAGCGGAAAAGTTTGTTGTCAGCCTAAACCAAAAACCATATGGTTATTGGTTTCCCCTCGGCATCTGATACCGTAGGGCCCATCTGTACCCACTGTTGTTATTTTCAGTATCCTTATTTTTAATAATTCCTTACAATGCTAATCATCTCTGGAAAATACCGTTTTCAAGGGTTCTGTCAAATGTGTATTTTTTCAACAATTCTTTCCAAACCCCACCTCTGACATTTGAGCAAAACACAATCACGTTTAGACTACTCATGAGTAGTTAGACAGGATTCGACAACTTTAACTGGAACACGCGTTTGAGTGTGTGGTTTAAGTTTCGTGACCGAATCAGAACTGGAACCAAGATCTTTCATTTATTCATANTATGTGTATATTTCACACATATCCGAAGCCAGACTGTGCCAAACAACTCACGATACAATAGTGGACAAAGCGCAAATGAATTGTCACTTGACTCAGTCACTCACTAAGGTGTTTCCACGTATTTATCCATGCATTACTTCTCTTGTTGTTGTTTTTTCTAATTCATTTTTCATCTTGTCGGCAGTACATCGTATCGGTCGTACTGGTCGTGGTCATCAGCGCGGTTTGGCCACCACATTTATCAATAAATCCGTTGACGAGTCCACCTTGCTGGATTTGAAACACTTGCTGATCGAGGCCAATCAACGTGTACCGGAATTCCTCGTCGAACTCGCCTCAGCCACTGAACACGAATTAGAAATGGGTGGTGAAGTTGGTTGTGCTTATTGTGGCGGTTTGGGTCATCGTATTACACACTGTCCGAAATTGGAAGCAATGCAGAACAAGGCGGCTGGCAATTTGGGCCGCAAGGATTTTCTGTCCTCAGCAGACTATTGAGTTGGTCGTCGTCTGTACAATTGGGCTCATGTTTCATTCCGTTTCGCGGAAAACTGTGCAGCTGTGGTGAAATCCTGTACGCTTCTCTACACATCTTTTTGTTGTACATATGGTCTGTAACAATGCTATTACTATTCATATATGAATACCAACGGTGCCTTCTACTTTTTGTTTCTGACATAACTCCTCCCTTGCCAAGGTAATCAAATGTTCTCAATGAGCAGATAGTTAAATGATTGTGTAAGCTACAATACATCAATAGTAACCACGTATCCCATTGATCGTATTTGGTTGTGTAGCTGTTGTGCCTAGCATGAGTTTCAATATTACATTTCCGCGCTAACGAACCATAATCGCATTTGGTTCCAGCAAACAAGGATTC